ACATTAATCCAAAATACAAAGAAGAATGTTATTTTAAAAAATTACAGTGCGTGATATCTGATTATTATCAGGTATATTCTGTATCTGAACTGTGTTTTCTAATTTAGAGTATGAACCTGCTCTTGCTGAAATCTGCAGAAGCATGATTCAGGCAATTTGATTGTAAGCTCCTTGGAGTTGCTGTTATAGTTACGGGGTTTGCTGTATCTCTGTACAGTTCTCGGTCTTTCTGAGTGTATTGCCTCCGGTGTCAGGCCTTGTATCTCTCCTGGGGTGAATTCTATAGTTCTCCCATCTTAGACCAGACCCAAAGCAACTGTAACATGTAAGTCAGCCATCCTCAGCAGGCTCAAGTAGGTTTGGCAACTGTGGTTCTTCCCTTCAGGAGTGTTTGACCAGTGGCATCCATTGACAAAACAGCCTTTTTCAAAGCAAAGCATTTTATATTTAAAAGTAGGAGCAAAGCAAAAGAGAAGGCAAGATTTTAACAATAATCTTCACATCTGTCTTACTTAAAGTCTTACTACCCCGTTACCTAACCCTTGTCTTCACTGACCAGGAGATGGATGAGGGTCGATTTAGTGGGTCTAGTAAGGTCCTATTAAAACTACCTCTGATCAGACTCCTGTCAACTCTGCTACTCCATTGGGTCACAGAAGTAAGGGAAGTCAATGGGAGAGTTTTTCCTGTCGACCCCCTGCAGTGGGAAGGCTACACAAATTTGAACTGAGGTACGTCAACTTCAGCTGCACTATTTACATAGTTGGAGTAATGTACTTTAGTCTGACTTTGCCCCCTAGTGTAGGCCTAGCTCAGTGGTCCCCAGCGCGGTGCCCACAGGTGCCATGGTGCCCACCGGGGCATTTATGTGCGCCCGCCGAAACATCTGGGCTGGCCCCGCCCCCGGTGCACGTCACATGCATGGTGCCAGCCCCGGGCGCATGGGCGGCCCCTGCTCCAGGCACGCGGCACATGCGCGGTGCTGGCCCAGGGCATGTGGGCGGCCCCTGCTCTGGGCATGCGGCACATGCACGGTGCCGGCCCTGGTCTCAGGGCGCGTGGGCGGCCCCTACCCCCCGGCGTGCGGCACATGTGCAGTGCCAATCCCAGGTGCAGGGCGCGTGGGCAGCCCCTGCCCCAGGCGCGCGGCACATGCGTGGTACCAGCCCTGGATTCAGGGCGCGTGGGCAGCCCCTACCCCCGGCGCACGGTGCATGTGTGGCCCCACCCCCGGAAGTGCGGTGTGTGAACATCCCTGCCCCTGGGTGCCCGGCAGCCACCAAAATTTGGGGACCACTGGCCTAGCTTCTTCAGAGGCATCCAGTGAATGCTTGTGTGTCATTTTGATCTTCTTGTGTTTCAAGATCTCTTTCTGCCCTGGCATTGTCTCTTATCTTAACAATCCTTAAGTCATTTCTCTGTGAACACTTATTGTGAGCAGTTCTTTGCCCTTCCTGTTTCTTTTTTCCATACAGTCCCCTATTGCACCAAAACAATATATTTGTAAATTAAACAACTGAATAACTTGCTCAGCATACAGTATTAATACATTCCAGAGCCATTCTACTTCTGTCACTGGCACTGCAACAAGGTCTTTCTCTATGTTTTGAGTAGAGCTAATCTCACTGTTAACAGGTAGTCATTCTTTTAGATTCAAAAGAATTGTCTCTTCTGTGTGTGTGTGGTTTTTTTTTAGCACCCTACATTGAACGAGGCCTTTGGGCTTTATCATAATATAAATATTAATGATTAATAGCAAGCAGGTCATAGTATTTATCCTCTTCATAAGTGCATAATCCCAGGTCTGTAGATAGCTGAGCTTCTGCTGAATACTGACTGTAACACTGCTCAGCTGTGTCCTGTGTAGAGGTCTGAAGTGCTATGAGATCCAGAATCTGGTTCCAATTCTTCCTATTGCACTCTCGCTAAGGTTATAAATAAATATACTTTCTCTTGGAGAGATTAATTCATTTGGAATAACCCTGTATCCTGTTCCTTCTTGTTAGTGTCATTACAATTAAAATCAACAAAATAAAAACCTCACAAAACTGCTGATAATAAAACTGTCTTGCTTTTATAACTGAACAGCATCTTTTCTGTTCCTCTGAATGAGCCCCTCAATAACCTCTATTTCCATCAGGTTGGGACAGACAAGTGCTTTTCACAACTACCATGGTACACTGATGTCAACACATCACCCTTTTTTGCTGCTGAAAGGACATGACAGTTGCAATGGAGGTGCATGGCTCCATAGGTAAGTTTTTCATTTAAAGCAGAGATTCAACTTCTTTGTTTTGTAAAAAACACAGCGTATCTTCCCCAGACTTACAAAACTTATTCTTTGAGGACAGAATTAGTTTTCTGAGAATTTACAAATAATCCATTAATTTATCTATTTATTTTGTGGTAGTAGCTTCTTTTTCTGGGCCCTTGCTAATTGTTGTACAAGCACATACAGTTCATGCCTGTAAGGTATGCCTTAACTGCAGAGGTAACTGGAATGAACCTAGCTGGAATAAGAACTGCCACTCTGCAAAATAACACTCAAGTTGCTGCCTACTTATTGGTGCTGTATTCACTTGCATGTGTTGCTAAAACTTCTGAGGGCATATTCCTTGGTCCCTAGTGCTGCAGTAAACCGAGATATTCAGATTTATTTCCCTTTGGATTGTAGGAGAATTTGTCTGTGAGGGAATTCTGTAATGGCATTGGAGGACTAATGGACTTAAGTGCTGCTATTTGTGTCCATACTATGGAGTGGTTTTGTGAGCAGGTGATGAATTGTGATCTCTAAAGTTTTAATCTATAATCCCTCTTGGGCTATCTAACATGAGGTAAAGGCACCATCAGTCTAGTTAACGGTTTTTGTATATGGAGGGGACTCAAGTTATGGACAACTCATGAATTATAACTCAAGTTTACTTTTCAATGAAGAGTTCATAGTCTTTGCCCGAAGAGTTCACAGTCTAAGGACCTGTTTGCAAAATGTATTCAAAACTTATTAAAAAATGGGTCTGTTAGCACAGTTCTCTATCCACAGTGTGGAGGATACGAAGGGTGCATCTACACTGCACTCTTACCTTGAAATAAGCTACGCAATTTGAGGTACACAAATTGCTTAGCTTATTTCAAGTCAATTTCAAAATTGCTTATTTTGACATTTGGCGCTGTCTACACAACACTTATTTGGAAATAACCTGCTATTCTGAAACATCCCTTACTCCTTGTGGAATGAGGTTTACGAGGACATAGGAATAGCGAGCTCATTATATTTCAATATAACGGGTGCGCTCAAAAGATGTGGAATAACTATTTCGGGATATCGTATCCTGAAATAGAGCTGCAGTGTAGATGTAGCCTAAAGGTTAACAACTCTAAGGCAGTTTCTCCAACACAAAAACTCACAACTAATGAGCCAATTAATTGAACAGTTGATATTAATTTTCATTATAATCTTCCTCTGAAAGCATATACTAGATCACATCTTCAGTAGGTAGGTCATCACTTAAGTTATGCATGATCAGCAGCATGAGTCTATATATTTCAGCCATTTTTCTTATTTGCACTTCTCACAAATTTACCCACACAATCAATGTTAAAATGCATCTTTTTAAAATTAGGTTTTAATTGAATGCTGCACTTTGGGAGGAAATCTCTACTGATTTAGCCAGTGTTTTACTGTTGTTCCACCATGGCACTGTTTACAGCTTTCACTTACCATGTAGTTGATTATATTCTGTGGTGGGGCTTTGTTATGGTAGTGTAAGACCTGGCAGATAAACTGCCTTTAAACCAGGGCTACTCAACTTTGGAAGCCCTGGAGGCCACAGTGATACTCACAGCATGTGTGGAGGGCTGCAACTTAAGTGTGGTTGCATATACATGAAAATATATATGCAAATAGCTTCTTTCACGTTGACGGACATGAATACAAAGCACTTTCCACAGTGCCCCGGTGCTCCCAGCACTTCCTCCCTGAGGGCTAGAAACACTGACATCCTGGACATGTCTATTTTAGCCAGCCCGTCCGCTTGCGTCTTTCAATGCTCATCCTGCCTGGGAGACACCTCGCCATTGTGGAATGTGTTCCCAGTGGAGGCCATGTTCAGAGGATTCTGCCTGCTGGCTGCGTGTTGAGCCCCGTGTAAACCCAAACTGCACTGCGGGCCTCAAACAAAAGGGCCGCAGGCCACGTGCAGCTCACGGCCATGTGCTGAGTAGTCCTGCTTTAAACAGCACAGTGCCTTTGGGAGTGGTGGGGGCTAGACCTTCTGAGTTTGAAAGACCATTCTATATCCTGTAATCATCCTTGATATTAAAACCTAAGTGTAGTGCAAGGCAAAAATTTAAGAAACAATAGGAGTAGTCCCTATAAAGCAGTTCCACATTTGTGATTATTCTTCCCCCTCCATGCTATCCCTCCCTCCCTCTGTTCATATTTATGCAGACTTTTATCACATGTGGGTGTTGCTCAGTCTGGCACAGCAATTTGTGGTACACTTGAAAAGGAATTGCATTATGAAAAATGAAATGATGATGATGATGATGAAAATTCTGCTTGCTGTGTGGATTCCCTAGTGCAGTCTTATTATCACTGCTGCCGTCATTCAACTTCTGAAGTCTCCATTCTGTGCTCACTGATGAACTGCAGCTGAACGAGGTGAAATATTACATTGTTGTCTGCTTTTCTTGTGAACCTGAACGGCTTCTTACATAAAATCACCCTGCTATGAAATACCCACGTGAACTCAAAACCCCTGAGGAAGAACTCTTCTAAAGCATCTAAAAAAGAAGACGACTGATAATTCCATTTTAGTAAAACCTTTAACAATAGCAAATTGAAGTGAGTGACCACATGAATATTTTCTGTCCCAAAAACACCTCAAATTTGAGAGAGTTGCAGGGTAGTTTTTATTACTTATGAGTAATTCTTATTGGAAGAAGTCAGTATTAGAAAACCTGTCACCAGCATACCCCAAGAGTCTGATAGGGTTATAGTCCTGAAATCATCTCAGAATCAAACAGTGCCTGAAATTCTCCTGTGGTTATTCATTTTGAGAAAGATATGATGATGGCAGCCAAAATAGTAGCTCCTATTTCTATTGTAGAAAATATTGTGACGGGGACCCAATTAATGCACAGTTAATCCTGGCATGGCTATACATGACTATGAATATTTTATTTATACAGTGTTTGTAGATTATGCCTGTTGAGGGCCTCCCAAAGGGCCCCCCAAAGTCAATATCTTTTTTGGAGGGCAAATACAGTCCTATAGGCCTAGTCTCAAAGTACAGTTAACTCTAACCAGGGTAAATATGGCCCTACAAACTGTTAGAGAGCAGGGTACCTGGGGGGAGGGCAGAGGAAGGGGGACTCAGGCCATCCCAGTCCTTGTCCTTGTTGGCAGTGGAGGATTTTCATTGCCTGCTCAGTGGGGATTCTAACTGAAGCATGCTGAGCTCCCGGAGGACAATCCTCTGCCCTGCGCCACTTCCTACTGTTCTCTGCGCTCCACTTAGCTCTTAGGCCGTTGCTCGGAGTGTCCAGCCCTCATTGCTGGCCTCCCTGGTTGGTCTGTCGCTGTGACTGTAGCTACGTCCGCTGCTGCCAGCGTCGCTGCTCCTGGGGCAGCTGTGGCTGCTGCTGCCGGCATCGCTGCTCCTGGGGCAACTGTGCCTGCAGCCGCTGCTGCTGGGGTTGCTGCTCCTGGGGCAGCAGTTGCTGCTGCTGCAGGGGTGGGTCAGGAGCTCCGACCTGAGCTCCTGCCCCTGTGGTGGTCCCTGTGACTGAGCTGCTCTGCTGCCTCTTATACTGCTCCAGCACTTGGAGCATGCCAAGTCTGGGAAAAAGGGCGGGACTTCCTCCGCCCGCAGAGTCTTAACCCTCCCTCTTCAGTGCAGGATATGCTCTCCCTGTCACACTCTCTCTCTTCAGTGTGGGGTACACTCTCCCCGTCACAATGCCCTACTTGGCATCATTCCATGTTGCAATGTAGACTGGAACTGTAAACATACTTATCCACAAATATGGTAAAAACACAACTTTTATTATTTAATATTTGTATAAAGCTCCTTTGCAAATTGAGTGATGAACAGGCGTTTCAGGTGGGAATCAAACCATGTTCTGGCCATTTTCACCCTAGAGTCTTTTGAAATCCAAGTCTTGAATCATCATTTGGGAAGAGTTGAAATTCAATCCCATCCAATACTTGAGGTCAAACTATGTTTCAACCATATTGGAAGCCAACAGTGAGGTCACCAGGTCTTCCAAAATGGTACCTAAATGGATCTGTAAGTGCTTGTAAGAGATTTGAGATAATATAAGGAAAGACACAGAGTAACTTGTAAAAAAAATTAATTTGTAAATCAGAGTATCCTACATACAAAGAATTGCAAAAGAAGAAGACTATAGGGATATTCCTTTACAAAACTTGAAGTAGTGAGTATTCAATAGGCAGAAAAGGAAAACTACATACAGAGGTAGAGTCCAATGCTTTCTTCTTATTATGGGAACTGTGAAGGGATCCATTCCTTTTAGGTTCACCTCTTAGTGGCTGAGTCTAGGAATTAGCCCTCATTCTGTCTTTTACATTTGGTTGCTTGTACTATGGCCACTCTTCCTTATGGTGACTCACGGTGCTCCCACTTCATGACTCAGAGGTGACTACATAGTCCCTCTACCTCTGGAATAAGAATGTTCTACTGGACAAGCTGGCCAGATGCTGCCTTGGATAGCCTTTCATTCCACTCCAAGATCCTGCATTGCACCACTTCCTAGTGTCTGGCAGGGGAACTTATGCCTGCTTGCTCCTCCAGTTTCTAGCCCAGGAACTCTGTGTTGTTTGCCTAGGTCCCTTCCTATCTCATCTCTGTATCTCATTGCCTATCCATGTTTACTCCCAGAACTTTCTTTGCTCCCCTTTTTGTCCATATAAACCTGCTGAGGGCTTGTGTGGGATGACATAGTTAAGTCCCTTCCATGTGACATATTTTAACTGTGTGGTAGGTGTACTTATATTTGTTGTGTAGATGAAGCTTAAAAGAAAGTAAACTTTCTTAATTCAAAATAAGAATGCCACATACAGACTCACCCCAAAACAACTAAAGATTATTATAACCAATTTACTTATTTTGGCTCTAGTCTATAGACAAGCTCATCTTAGAGTGCATCTACACAGCAGGGCTTAACTCGAAATAAGCTACGCAAATTGAACTATGTCAATTGCATAGTGTATTTCAAAATTTGGAGCGTCTACACGGCACTTATTTCAAAATAGCACACTTTTCCTCTGACTTCCCTTGCTCCTACAATGAGGGTTACAGGGGTCGGGGTAAGAAGTCCTCCAGCTTGACAGTATTTTGACATTATTTTGAAATACCTGCCTGCTGTGTAGATGAGGACTAAGTTATTTCAAAATAATGTTGCTGTGTAGACAAACCTTTAGGGGAGAGAGAGCGAGAGATGGGATTCTGATGTAATCACAGGACATGTAGTGAAGGCATGAGGCTCTCCTGCACAGGGAATAGCAATTATGTTGGCCTTCTTGGGGTGGAGAACCCTGACCAAATAAGTTTGAAATGTAAGAGGAGGATGTGGGGAGATTCAGATTAATTCTTTCTGTTTAATTAACCAGTTCTGCTAGCCTTAGCAATTTTGAATTGCATGGCTCATGATGCACATTTTGAGAGATCACTGGTTACTGGGACTGTGAAATATGTGTAACACAAAAACTGTTATGTGAAGGACACTAAGGCTACTACAAAAACTACAGAGAGGAAGAGAAAGTTTCTCATAGGCAGTGTATGTATTTCCTGGCTGTTATACTATGATATTAAAGAGAAATGATGCTGTTTGCCCTCTGAACTGATTTTATATATATTTTGCTGCCTGGACTGCTGCTGGGAGCAACAAAGAAGGCTGCCGTAATGTCAGGCTGTCTGTCTTCAACTAAAATGAGTTGCAGTTATATAATTATCTGAAATGAGATGTTGAAAGACTGCAGCTGTCTCGTACATACTCAGCAACATTACTGAGTCTCATGCACATTTTCATAGCTATGACACATACACAGGTTTCCTATATATCATTTAAGTCTCACTGCATTTTATAGCATGGTCTGTGTAACTGTATCACTTTGCTTTTCTGTATAATTTCATACATAAATAACATTTTGTGGTTAGGTGAATGCTCTAATACAGCTCATCACCTACAGTATATCTGTCAGATTTTTTGCATGTCCTATTAACACTGGAAGAATAGAAATTTACTCTACCATTGAAAATTCATCTAATATTGTATTCAGCTTTACAGAATGTTTCCCACATGTCTTTGAGTGACAGTCCATCTTTTGATGTTCATATTTGCCATCTGGATATATTTGCTTTGTTCCATAGTAGAATTATAAGAAGATGCAAATAAACCCACAGGATTAAAATATTTTTAAAAAATGATCTCAAGCAAATGTAGCTGTAAATGGTAAAGAATATAATATAATTTTGTTTACATCTAATGGCACAGATATCCTTTTTAAAAATAGGGCAGGTGATTTTCAAAGGGATACAATCAACTTAAAAATCACACTTCTTTTTTTTTACTACTATTGCTACAAAAAACAAAGATTAATAATACTAAAAGAAATTCAAGAAATATATTTTCTAGTTTTTTAGTTTGTTTACTTTACACCTGCAATAGCACATTATATCTGTTAAGTTTCCCTATTTATCCAGCACTGTTCATAGTTATTCATTTTTCTCTGTTCTAATGGGTCTACCATACAGTGGTAAAGGAGAAAAATATTTGAACAAAATATGAAAATGTGCCTGTGAACTTACAGAAAGGCAAAGAGTATTGGGGAGGTGTGTTAACCAATACTACTTTTACTTATTATTTTCATAAGCTAGATTTGAAGTTGATGGATCCCTTTTAAATTTTTAATTAAAGGTGATCTGAAATTTTTTTATAACAGTACCAAATAAAATATTTAAGATCCCAAATTAGTAACCAAATATACACATAGACTTAACACTGACATTGGGTGTATTTATAGACGTACGTGCACATTTATACCTCTGTGTTTATATAGGTATATATTCATACACATACTTACATTATAGATTAAATCAAAACATTTCTTCTATTTAATATGTGTAAAACAATCTGAGATCCTGAGATGAAAATGTTTGTTTGTTTGTTTATGTATGTATTTATTTAGTATACCTGCCTGCTAATAGTGGAGTTCAGAGTTCTGTATTTACCTATGCCCAGCTATAGGTGATTCATAGCATTGCAAGAAAGAATAACAATGTAAAGGATGTAGCTTCTTGCTGCTCTGTATTAGGTGTTGGTTATGCCATCAGCAGTTGCAGAGTAAACACTGAATATGAAATACAGATCTTGGCAGGTAAAAAGTATTTTAATTACAGTTCAAAGAATCAGATAATTAAAACGTCATAATTCCCATATTATAAAACACTTAAATGTATAGTCCTGTAAAATAGAACCAGATCCAAACATTGATTCAAACTTGGAAAAAATTAACAGTAATTTCCCCAAAAATATCTGAATGTTCTTTTCTGCTATTTATATTGCTGTGATTTAGGCAGACTCATACACAGTAGTCAGAGATGGTATGCATTCATGTGTTGTTATGTCAGTGGGTGA